CATATTAGGCAGCATCATCTATAAATTAGTGTAAGGTTTCTCTTTGATAGTCCACTGATCATGAGAAATCCCCCATGATGCCATTGGTGCAGGCTAGGAAAGGGAAGGTAACGTGCCAGAAGCGGAAATCACTGACATTTGAGCCATTTCCTCATGTAACTTCCTTGTGCCTTTGTGTCCTGCTCAAAGCCGATTTCATATATACCATTCCCATTTGGTGATAGAGTGTTCTTATGTGTGTCCCATTTGATAAGTCTGTGGGTCGGACAACATTAAGTTCATGATGGGCAGCTGAGGCCACATGGTGACTTGGTAACTCTTGACCAAATATGTACAATCCTGTAACAAGCCACAAGCTGCTTCTCAAAAGGAGAATAGTTCTCTGCAGAGCATCCCAAGGATTTCCTCCAAAACTCGAAGGGTATGTTCTGTGATTCAGCAATAGGGGCCTTCCAAAGACTTTCAACAGTATGTCTATCTGCACTGACACTTCAAGGGCTGTTGGATCAGCCAGATCTTATGACTCAAGTGGTACAGTGGCTGTCACGGCAGTCTGAAACTGTTACATTGCCTGTTCTTGTAGTGAGCTCTACTCAACACCAGCAGCTTTTCTAGTAACTAGTAAAGAGGCCAGAGTGACACATCCAAATGAGGGATGTGTTGACCCTCTGCAGACTAGGCTGCCAGGTCGGTTCCAAGTGAGTATGTAGCATATTCCCCATCTATTTGACTCCCACAGATACTATGACGATTCTGATTATTGTTTTAACTCTACTATCCATTCAAGTAACCATGCTGACCTTGTCTTCATTGATTAAATATTGCCACTTGTCCCCATCACCATGGTGTTTAACTACCCTAAATATAATGAGGTATCTTAGACAGTTAAGGCAGTTTCCAATGTCAAGTATAGCTTTGAATAAAATTGCACTCACAGCATTCTTCATGAATTTTGTTTGATTGATTCTTTTAATGGTTGTTTCTTAAGATGTCATGCTTAGAAAGGTCTTTCTATCTCAACTTTAAATAGACAATAAATCTATTTAGTTACTTTGTATCTTCACCTTTCCCTCTCACCTGAGTTCCAAGACTACAAATGTCTAGAATTTCAAGGCATCTCTTTCTGTGTAGTCTTAAAATTTTTTAAAAAGCCATAGGTTTCTGGCTTACATTTACCCAGAACCCTCTGGGTGTCACTTTGCTGACTTTAGCAGCATTCTGTAACAGAGATTTCAAGGAGGAAGCTGAACCAAGACCGAGATCTCTTATTGACTAGAGAGCATTATGCTGAATGAACTCAGTCTCACAAGGACAAATACTACATAAGACCATTATAGAAGAAATAGAAAGATAACTAATAAAATGTGTATAAGAATCCAAGGGTGGAGGATCGCAGCAGAAGGATGAGGATGGGTCGGGCAAATCATAGGAGCACACAATTTGGTGGATGGAGGGAGGGATGAGTAAAGATAATGGGAAAGATCCGACTAGGATCTGGAAAGATGGGGTAATGGTGGGCATAGTTCAATGATGATTAATTTTATAAAACGTAGTGAATGGGAATGATTGTATGAAACATAATGTGAATAAAGGATAGTGTGAAACATAATACATACAAACTTTGTAAGCAAATCAATATAAAATTAAAAAAAATTGGGTACAGAGGAACGCCAACTGAAATAGGCAAATTTACAGGTTAAGCATCTGGAATGAGTCTCAAAAAAAGATGTAACAAGGCTTGTCTGCTACAGGAGATTAGATTATTGAGAGGACTCGTATTCCTAACAGTGTGTTCATCAGTCATCTTTGTGCCTGTTTGTTTCCAACTGTGCCAGTCAAGAGATTTAGTTGTTATGCGTAACACATGCATCCTTTGTTGCTAAGAGATTAAATATCTCTTAAAAATGTCTACCTGTAATTTTGCACACTCTGGTTATCATCCTGGTTCAACCACATTTTCCAAATTCATCCAATTTCACTTCCACAGTCAAGACTAAACTGGGAAGAAAGGATCCAAGTTTTGGTATATAGCCAAACCTCAAAAAACAGCTGTGTGATTTAAAAAAGAAAGAAAAGAAAGAAATACAGACTGCTTTCAGAAGAGGCCATGGATCTAGGGATATTATAGCCAATGCGAGATGGATCTCGGCTGAAAGCAGAGAGTACCAGAGAAATGTTATCTGTGTTTCGTTGACTGTGTAGATCACAACAAATTGTGGTTAACATTGAGAATAACAGGAATCCCAGAACACCTGATTTTGTTCATGAAAAATCTATACCTGGATCAAGGAGCTGTTGTCAGAATAGAGCAAGGTTCAAAATTAGGAAAGGAGTGTGTTACGGATGTGTCCTGTCTCCAAACATTTCCAATCTGTACATGGAACAGATTATTTGGGAGACTAGATTTTATGAAGAGGAATGTGGCATCAGGCTTGAAGGAAGACTCATCAACAAGCTGTATTATTATGCAAATAACATAACCTTGCTCATCCAAACTAAAGTGGAGCTGAAGCATTTGTTGCAAAAAAGTCAAGGATCACAGTATTCAAAATGAATTGAAACTCAACATCGTGAAGACAAAGATTCTCAGCACAAAACTGATTGGCAGCACTATGATAAATGGAAAAGAGAATGAGATTGTTAACAGTTTTGGCTTGCTTGCTTCGAAAAGAGATACTCTTGGCACCAGCAGTCAGGAAATAAAAAGATGAATTGCGTTAGGAAAATCTGCTGTCAGGGACCTCACCAAAGAGCTGAAGAACAACAGTATCAAGGTTGCTGATCCAGGCTATGGTCTTTCCAATTGCTTGCTATGCATCAGAAAGCTGGAAAATTACTAGGGATGATAGAAGAAGAATTGGTGCCTTTGGGTTGTGGTGCTGGAGAAGAGTATCCAAGAGAACTAACAAGTTTGTTCTGGAAAGGGTGAGACCAAGCTGCTCCTTGAAACAGGGATTTTGGAGACAAGGATTTTGAAACTCCAGCTCACATACTTTGGGCATGTTCCCAGGAGGGTTCAGTCCTTGGAGACGGACATCATGCTTGGGAGGATGGAGGGACAGCATAAGAGAGGAAGATTCTGAAGGAGATGGAATGACAGAGCAACTGGGGTAATGGAGCGGTCTCAGAGACACAGAGTGAGATTGTGTCAGGATAGGACAGTGTTCAGAGCTATTTTGCATAGGATTTGCTATGAGTCACAAGGTGACTCAATGGGATATAACAACACAATACTTGTTTCAGGGCACTTTGGTGAGTTAATCCACAGGGAGTGGCACCGCCAACCCAAAAAGACACTGCTCTGGGGTTCAAAACCACCTCTCTACAGGAGAGAGGTGAGCAATAGCCTCCCCAGTTACTCATAGACTTTAAGAACCCACTGGGGGATCGGCTATGAGTCAGGTAAAACTCAATCATAAAGAGAGAATGAAGAACTCAATGACAGCTCTTATTTTCCGCATAGATCAGGGTTTGACGCTCCACCATGGCACACCCTGTTGGTAAGTGCGTTCTTGCCTGTTACTAGGAAGCTGGGCTCTGGTAACCTAGTGGGTAGGGAGTTGCACTGCAACCCAAAGGTGGGCAGTTCAAGTCCACTGGCAGGTTTTTGGGGAGAAAAACAGGCCATTTCCTCCAGTATGGTTTCAACTTCCAAAAAACCACTGGAGGGTCAGCTCTCATTTAGTCCCAGCTCAGCAGCAATGAGAGAGGGAGACGGGGCTGGCGTTTCCATGGAGCTTCCACACTAAGAGGAACTGAGGAGAAAGATCTGTGGGTCACAGTGACTCAGGCTCCCGTGCATGGGTTCACACGACTTGGGAGCAACTAACAGCAAACAAGAAATCGCTTTACATCATATTTATATTCCTCACCATTTGCTCATAAATCAGAAAAGAAATACCAAGAATCTTGGTTTGAAACGATGGCAGGACACAGCCAATCATTGAATTGGTTTTTTCATGGTGAGAATTGCTTTGGTGTGGGGAAAGCAGTAAGGGACTTGAAATATAAAGGCTGACCCTCTGTCTATTACAATGGGCCCCACCTCTATTACTATGGACCCCACCTCTATTAAAATGGGCCCCACTGCTCTTACAATGGATCCCACCTCTGTTACAATGGACCTCACTTCTATTATTATGGACCCCAACTCTATTACAATGACCCCACTCTATACAGTGGATCCCACCTTTATTACAGTAGACTACACCTCTACTATTATGGACCCCACCTCTATTACTATGGATCCCACCTCTATTACTATGGACTCCACCTGTATTACTCTGGCCCTCACCTCTATTACTGTGGACCCCACCTCTATTACTATGAGTCCCACCTGTTACTATGGACCCCACCTCTATTATTAAAGATCCCCCCTCTGTTACTTTGACCTCACCTCTATTACTATGGATCCCACCTCTATTACTACAGATACCACCTCTATTACTACAGATACCACCTCTATTACTACAGATACCACCTCTATTACTACAGATACCACCTCTATTACTATTGACCTCACCTCTATTACTATGGATCTCACCTCTATTACTATGGAGCTGTGTGACCATGTCAAAGTGTGATCTCAGACAGACAACTATAACGTTGATATTAATACTCACAATAATGTCTGGTGTGTTCTGAGATACCAATCTTAATACTCATAATGATAACTAATGCTTGTTGAACATCTACTCTCTATCAGCCGCTGGTTTAAATACTTCATATGTATGAACTAACCTCATCCTCGCAGCAACCCAGTGAGACAGAAATTATTTTCTCCTTCATTTTATGACCGAGGACGTTGAGGTTCAGGTGGAATACCCTCCCCAGAGTCATAGAGCCAGCAAGTGGTGGGGCAGCCGTCAGTGGAACAGGCCTTTTGAGGACCGAGTTAAGGAGTCAAATTTGCCCGGGAAAGTGTTTGCTTGATGGATATAGAGAAGGAAGTGGCTAAATGTTGTTCCCAGTCCACCCCTTTGGAGAGCTCCTCTCCCTACCTCGCACAGTGGCCAGCTCCCCGTCCACGTGAGCCATGCACTGCATTGCGGTGGCCCCAGCGCATATCGGCATACTGACTCTCCGTCCTAAGACGGATGTCGACAGGTTGATCTCAGCAACATTCCGGAGCATCCGTGGGTAGAGCTTCCATCTAGGATTTGAAGATAATAAGGAAAAAAAGAGAGAGAGAACCTTTTCAGGATCTAAAAGACTTGGATATTGTGCACTATTTTAAAAGAAAAAGATATTTTTGCTTTTTCTCATCAAGCAAACTATAAAGTTAAATGAAAAGCAACTATCTTTCCATGTCCATTAGTGTGGAGAATTAGCAATCAGGGGAAAACACAAGTTTTTGGGGGTTTTTTTCTTGTTAAGATAAAATTTTTTATAAAGATATAATTTACATTTGGTAGAATTCACCCATTTTAGGAGGTAGTTTTTTTAATTTTGGCATGCAGTCTGGTAACCTTCACTGTATCATAATTAAGATCTAGTGTAATTATCCCAAAGCACATCCCCAATTTTCTTTGTAGTGAAACTCTATCTCAACCTCAATCCCCTAGCAGCAACTGAGCTTTTTTTTTTTTAATTGATGGGGCTTTTTAAAATTTTTAAAGCTCCTGGATATTATATAAATGGAGGCATACAGTATGCAGCCTTTTGAGACCAGCATCTTTTATTTATTATGCTGTTGCTGTTGCTGTTAGATGTTGTCATGTCAACTGAGAACAACCACTCTTGGTCCAACAGATCTGAACCTTGCCTTAATCTGCATGACCCTGCTCTCACTGATACCTTCCAGCTCATGGTGCAATCACTACGTCAATTCATCATTCGGAGGGTCTTTCCGTCTGACCCTCAATCTTTCCCAGCACAATATCCTTTTCTGGACCGTATACAACAAAGTTTTACCTTTCTTGCTTCTAAGGAGCCCTCAGGTTGCACTACCTCTAAGACACTTGATTGTTCTTTTGACAGTTCATGGCATAGTGAATACTCTTCTCATCAATCCATTACTTCATCCATCAATAATAAACCAGTGGCTAACAATCCATTACACGGAGTCATCATTGTTTGGGATATTTCTTGTATGAGACCCCACAAAAAGACCAATATAAAGATTAAGATATATATGTGTGTGTAGTTTTCATTTCCTTTTCTCTACGCAAACACTAGAGATAGATTAACACGCAAGAAGATGTAGTATGTCCATTATGTTTTGTTTTTACACTTTAAATAATAAACACTTGCTATAAGCAATCATTTCAAAATCACAATTTGGTTTCTTCAAAATCCTTGAACTGATCTTTTACCCATTGAAAGGCATAGATAGCAGAAGATGATAGATGATAGATAGATAGATAGATAGATAGAT